AAATATTGTTTAAAAGTTACTTGTCTTGAAACAAAACCAGAGCTATCCATTTCCCAAAAATGCAAACAGATTATTCTGCCCCTGTTTGTCAGCTTCAGTAGATAACTTCTATTTGATCTTCAAATGGAAACGGTTTCTGTTACAGATTTATACAACAGGCTGCTTCTTAAAAGAAAAAAAAAAAAAGATCTTAAGGCTGGAGCTGCTGTTTGCTTTCCCTTGTAATCTTGTGTGAAGATTTGCATAAGAAAAGCAAGTAGATTCTAGTCTAGGTTTTTCTGTCTACATCTAAGGCGTGAGTACCAGTCGTTCATTTATTCAGAAGGACAGTGATGGATTTGTAAATCGGGTGAGCAGGAAATCCCACAGTCAGTTCAGCTAGATTCCTCTAAGAGTAGTGGAGGCTGCCTATGGAGGCTAACTGGAGTTTAGTCAAGCAATTACAGCAGTCAAACACAGGGAGTCCAAAACCTAAAACCTCCAGTTCTAGGTATTTTTCCTGAGACTGTATACTCAGCTTTAAAACAACATCCAGAACGGCTATTTCCTGAACCTTGCAGAGCAGCCTCTCATGTCTGCATGTAACAGCCTCACAGCTCCTAACAGCCCCATCTCATTTGGGACCTCGGTGAGCGGAGCAGTGCAGGGTGGGCATGCACTGGGTGTCCTAACTAAGTGCATGCCCCCAGCTCCAAGTGTGACACAAGTGTGAACAAACCAGTTTATTCTGAGTAGAATGGGAATATAGAGCCATGCCTACAAGTGTGGTGTGAAGCACGACAGTTTAATGTGTGCAATGTACTTTGAATTTTTTTTTATTTTTTATTTTTTATTTTTTTTTGGTGTATAGAAAGACAAGCTGTTTTATGGGAAGAGGCTTAGGAAGGATGTTTTGGACCAAGGGGTCAAGTCCCTTGCTGTGGGTGGTAACCACACCTCAGAGGCTGGTACGCAAACCATCTTCCAGCTGCTTGGACAACTTTCTGCCTATGGAAGGCCTTTCTGGGTCCCCCCTGCTCTGGTGGGGTGAAGCTGCTTTTCTGTTTCCATTTTCAGTCCCTTCTTCATCCGTTCTTACCAATTCTTTCTCTTATAATTATTTTATTTGGAAGGAAGGGAGGGAAATTGTCTCGTAATTTTAAGATTCATTTGCATTTTCCTCTGAGCCCCAGGCACCTGGTGGAAAGGCACCAGCAATGCTGTAGGCTGGTTCCATGTACCAATAAAAATAAAATAAAATTTAAAAAAAAAAAAAAAAAAAAGAGTAAGAAAAGAGCCATTCTTAGAAAGCCTCCAGCGTTCCAGCTCGAGTACAAACAGCTTCTTATTTGGGACTCTCCTCGAGTAAACCAACAGTCCCGGGCGAAGGGGCCACAGCTCTGTGGTCTTGCACAAACCCAGACCCTTCAGGGCGGGTCGTGGGGGGATATGACAGGGAAGGAGGAAAGGGGAGGGGAAGAGGGAACCATCCGCAAACCGCTGCTGGGACCTCGGCCGAAGGGGGCGACGCTGTACCGGATCGAAGCAGTGCGGCAGACCCCCCATCTCTGCCCGCCCCGCCCGGGGTTCTGCCTGTTTCCCCGGCTTCAGCGGCAGACAGATTCCCGTGCTGAGCCTCGCCTCGGGCTTCTCTTTGCCCAGGGAACGGGCACGGTCGCTGAAGCTGCGCTCCCGTGGGCCGGTGTTGATTTTTTCGTTTGTTCGGTTTTGGCCCCCGCGCTTCGCTCTCGGTCCTTTCTCCCGCACAGGCGGTGCCGCCCGTGTCCTGCCCCGCAGCAGTCTGTGGGCTCGCAACGGGTGCGAGCGTGTATTCGAACCCGCCTCCTCCTCTTCGGAGCGGGGAACAGAGGCAGCGAGTCCGCGTCCCCCGGCGGCCCGCACCCTCGGTTCCCACAGAGGACTGAGGTGCGTGGGGTGACGCGGGGCTGTGGCAAGGTTGCGGGGTCACCGAGACGTGTGGTCTGGAGCCTGGGTACCATCAGGCTATCGGGAAATGCACCGACGAGCCGCCAGCCCGTGGGGACCTCCAAACAACTAAATAATCCTCTTCTCTCACCCACCGGGACCCTCAGTTCAGTAACGCTGAAGAAAGAACAACAAAACGCCCTCGAAGCTCAGCACTCCCAAAGAAAACAGAAAACATAAAAGAGGGCGAACCACCAGTACACCCCACGAGCTGCCCCCAAACGGCGAGGAGAGGCGAGCCGGCTTCCAGCCAGCGGGAGGTCAGGCTGCCAGGAACCCCCTCGCCCTCCACCATCGTCCGCTCGTTCCTAATTCCTTCGAGTTTAACCAGATTCCCCTACTGACAACGGGGTCTGGTAGGGTTTCACCCCCAAAGCTTAATTATATTGAAACAACAAGAAAGCAGATGCAGGTGAAGCTCCTAACACTTGCGGGGTGCCGGAGCTGCTGGCACCAACGGGACAGCCTTGGGGAGGGCTCCCGAAAAGGAGCGGGGCAGCACCCGTAGGCGGCGGGGAGCGGAGTCCGCCCGCAGCGTTGCGCTCCGCCGGGCTGTGCCACGGAGATCGCATCGAGAGAGCCTTTCCGGGAACGGGCTCCCGACAGCTCTCCGACGGGTGGGGGTGGGGAAATGAAAGAGAAAAGGCCAAAGAAACAGCGCGATTTTGGGAGCGGGACCAAATCCTAACGTGTTACATAAAAGCCACGGGCGGTTCTTATCAGCGAGCCTGGCCTGAAGAGGAACAATCCCCAGGAGCGGTTCCAAAACAGCCCCGATAAAGGAACAATTGTGAAATGCCAACTTCCCACCAGAGCACGAACAGCGGGAGCCGGGCATGTCCCGTCTGTAACCGGGCTTCTGACAAGCGACAGAGAGAGGGGAGGGGATGGGGGGGATCCTCTCTTGACAAGATTTATCAAGAAACATTTAACTGGGCTTTAATCATATTAGCAAGAGCCCAATTAGGGCTGAGAGCGAAGCGAGGCGGCTGGCAGGCTGCGGGGGGCCCCGGCCCCCCGCCCCCGCGGAGGAGCGAGCGGTGGAGTCACTCGAGGATAAAGTCCTTTCATCGGGCTGCGCTCTCGGCGAGCAGAGGAGTGCGAATAATCACTGCCCTTCACGGGGGGATGGGGGAGGGAGCGGGCGGGGAATGTGTGTAAAGGATCATTAAGGCCAGGCAGAAGGGTTTTTTGGTGTTGTTGTTGTTTTTAATTATGACGGCAGTTAAGGTGCTGTCCCTGAGTTTTCTCGGGCTCTGTTCTTACGAGCGGAGCGGGGAAGAAGCGAAGGGGCCCGGCGGCACCTGCTGCACCGCCCTGGTGGAGCGGAAAGGACTCTTTCCCGAGGCAAAGAGGGGCTCTGATCTACCCGCCGCTCCCCTCTAACTTCCCCGAAAGGAGAAATCCCCTAAAAATCCTTCCCCGGGCACTTCTCCGTGATGCGTGGCTCCTTGGGGGAAGGGGGGATGGGCACGGCTCTCTCGCCCCACCGGACCCCATCTCGGTGAGCAGGGCCGGGAGTTCTCCGAGGTTCGCAGAAAGCTCAGAGAGAAGAGCGGAGCTGGGGCCACCCGAGACAGGAGCAGGGGGTGGAAAGTGCCTTCCCGGGGGGGGGGGGGGAGGGGGCTCGCATTTCCCTTTGCCTCCTCCTCATCTTTAGCACGGGCATCCTGCCCTGTCCTTAGGGAGCGGTCCTTTGCAGCTACGGGGATAGGGAGGGCGCAGGACGGAGAAATGAAGCTAGCTCCCATAGGAGAGGTGGGGCCGGAGGGAGAGGCCGGGGAAGGCGATGCCCCCCGGGTCGCGCCGCATGTGGGAGCCGGCCGTGACCCTACCCGCGGCTTTCGAGACATCGCCGACAGCTGCCAGCAGCTGCCTCGCTGCGCTGCCACCACCCGCGGCCGCCGGGAGCGGGGCGATAAGGGGCAGCGGTACGCCTTTAGCCCGAGAGAAGCAGCCTGTTTGCACAGTGGGGCAGAGGCTGCTGGCTTTTTTTCTTTTCAACAGGGTAGAGATGAGGGAGGCATTGGCACGAGCATCCCCGCTGTCGGGAGATCCCCAGTGCACGGAGGGGGTCTCCTCCTCTCACCTCCCAATCCGTGCCCGCCCCTTCCCGCATCCCGAAGCGGCCGCAGTCCCCCCCTTCGGAGCCGGGCGGCCCCTTCCCCGCCGCTCCGTGCCCTCTTGCTGACCGTCTTCCCTCCCCCTTCCTTACTCCATCCACGCTTACCTTTCCGGCCCGGCCGCCGAGGGGCTCGGCCCCCCCCCCCCCGCCCCCGCCCCCCCTCCCGTCGCCGCCCGCCCCGCCGAAGAGGGGCCGCACGCCGCCGCGCCGGCAGGGACCCGGCTCTCGCCTCGCAAAGCGCTCGACTGGCGCTGGCAGCCCCGCCGGGTTCATCCGAGGACAGCGGCGGCTCCGCGCCGCGGCTCGTCTGGCTGCCAACGCCGCGGCAAAGACTGATGCTGCCGCGGCCGGGGGTGACTCACGGCGGCTCGCGGCTGCCGCTGATTAGCGGATCAGAGAGCCGAGTGGGAAGCGGGCACGGCGCGGCCGCTCCTTCTCCGGGCACCGCGGGCCGGGCCGGGCCGGGCCCCCCCGAGTCACACATCCTTCCATTCCCAGCCCCCTTCATCTCCTGCACAATGTATTTTTATTCTTTCGGAATAATCCGACGACTTTGTCGGAGCACAAATTCACCCTTCCAACAGCGAAATGGTCTCCCCCAACCCTTTCCTTGCCGCGTGAGAGCCCCGACGGCACCACGGTGTGCAGCCCGCAGCGCTCCGACGGCGGCCGCCTCAACGTAAGTGCCCGCGTCGTGGCCACCTTCCGAGGGGCTGCGGGGCCGGGAGGGGATGGCAGAGCCCCGTGTGCCCCGGGGTCGCCAGGAGATTCAGAGGGGCTGAGTTGGGTGGGCCCAAGGCTGAGTGAAAGCTGCCTCTTGGTTCTTGGCTGTGTCCTCCGCTGGTGTCATGTTGTCTTTCAGGGAGAGCCCAAATCTCATCGTGATTCTGAGGCCTGGTGGGCAGGCTGGGGGCTGATCTTCTGCCTTGTCCCCACCTCAGCCTCCCTGTCCCAGTGTGGTGTGGCAGGCCCAAGCTGGTTCCTCAGTATCCATTTGGGCAAACACGTGGCTCAGCAGATGGGAAGAGAGATGTGGGCACCTGGGGAGAGATGTGGAATCAGCATCAGGGAAGAAGGTGAGCATCAGTGAGGAGCATGTGGATGGCTGTGCTCAGCATGCAGGCTGCCGTGTTGCAGCTGCGTGTGGTTTCCATGGAGTCCCCAGGGCAGGTCCCAGCTAGAACACACTGCAGAAGTTTTTCATGGTGAGCGTGTTTTCCTGTTTCCCAGGTGCAGCCTGACTGGTTGCATTTCACACCCTTTGCATCGGGCAGTTCACCACTGTCAGTGCCTCTGAGAACCATGCTGCCTGTGTGACATCTGTGTTCTGAAGCGTGTTTATGAACGGAAACTGTGGCAGAATGCATCTTTCTGTGCACTCTGCAGGCACAGCTCTAAAAGCAGCGGCTCCCTGAAATGAAGAGATTATTAAAAACACATTTGTTAAGAAACTGAAGCCATTGAAGGTACTGGGATTGAGTGCTGTATTCTCTGGATGCACATTTGTTCTGGATGCAGAAAGAACGTATGATTGGGCCTGTATTAAAAAATACTCCAACTTGTCAGAAATGTGCTAAAATGACAAGCCACGGGCTGGTGGTTGGGGATCATCTTGTCAGTGATTTAACCTTAAGTTCATTTTTAAGTCCAAATTTCATTCCTTTGAGGAAAAAGAGTGGGAGTAGGAAGAGGCTATTATAATAGAAATGCTGACAGTGCTAACTGTGGCAGTGTGAATTCACTACTATAATAAGACCTCAGCTGGCAGCCTAATTCCAAAGAGGTGATGTTATCCAGTAATAATGCAATCAGTTTGTTGGCTGTAACATAGGAAGGTGGGAACTGGTTTATTTTAATGCTATTTTTGGCCAAAATGTAAAAAATCTTTAAGATGCCGGATCAAAGCAGGAGAGCTACCTTTCTGTTTAAAATAATAAAACCTCTGGAACATTTTTCACTTCAGTGCAGTTTTTAGAAAGGCATATTTTAAAAGGGACAGCTAGGGAGAATGCAAGCTTTCAAGTTAAGGATTGGAGGATGGAAAAGCTCAAGGGTGGAACATTGTTAGAAGTTTTCAGAGAGATCCTGAAAGCACAGTGGTCACTTTACAAAATAGAAGTTTTCTCCTGGGTAATTGCTGAATGAGTTTGCGTTGATTTTCAGCTATGAATTTCAAGGAAAAAGAGGGGAAAAAAAAAGAATTGAAAAAGACAAGTGCCCTGTTAGTAATTTAGAATTATGCTGCGAGCATTAAAAAAAATTGCATCAGATATTAGAAAAAAAATTTGGAAATAACCATGTAAACTTCTGAGCTTATACAGTATTTTCCAGCCATTGCATCTTTCTTTTTGTAATTACTTTTAAGGAACAAACATTCTGACTTTATAGATAGCTTGCTCTCAAATTAGGAAAACTAGCACAAGTAAGACTGATTTGTGAGGCACATATTTCAGTGATACTGTGTTGGTGAAATCTTCTGCAGCAGATTTGTCAGTGATAATAGCGAGGTCAGGATTTTACCCAATCTGAGTGTAGTGCTGTTGCAGTAAATTACAAGGATAGAGACAGAACGTATTATCCATCCAATTCAGGTTTGGATTTTCCTGTTGTCCTCGATAGAGTTCCTTACATTTAGCCTGAATCAAGATTTACTGAGGTCAATGGGAATATCTGTGTTGGGGTCATGAACTCTTTGAAGGATCAAATCTTCGGTTTCTTCATGCTGCTCGGAAGCCCAACAGTATCAAGTCCAAGATAATATCTCAAGCATGTGAAGATAGTTAAAACAAAGTAAGTAACGACTGTAGCCAAATCGTAACTCATTTTAGCAGAGCACTTTGTGAGTAACAGAACCCTACAAGAATACTTGGGTGTGTCTGAGTCAACCAGTTCTGGAAATCCTATGATGTGCAGCTGCAGAAACTACACAAATTCTTGAAAAATTGTCAACAAAACCTGAAACGACCCTAAGGGTTTTTAATACAAATTTGTCAAAATTTCTTGAAAGTAATGTTTCCTGAGTTATATACAAGCTCTGTCCTGCTTACTAATAAATCACATTGCCCAGTAACTCATGATAAGCAGGCTAAAAGTGCTACAGTGACTACCTTGTTTACCTGATCTTCTTAAGGCAACATTAACCTTCTTTTTAGACTTGACATTTAACAAAACATTATAAATATTATAACCACTTGTGAATATGCATACTCCGGACTGTAGAAAATCAGGTTGGCATTTATTGTCAGGCTTCCATCCAAAAACATACGAGATAATTTGCATTATATGGCTACTGGCACTACAGAGTGACAAGTTGGAAGAGGTATTTTGAGAGCAGTTCCAGAATTGCCTTAAACACTTGTTTGAAGTGAGAAAACAGATGTGATATAATGATAGTTGTTTTGCTTTTATTGTGAAAGAGAATACAAGCTTGTGATTACTGATTGGATATGAAATAAAACTTTATGGCTGTATGAACCGGACATAGCATGTCAGCAATCAAACAGGATGCCAGGGAAGCATTGCATATTAGCTCTGTAAAAAGAATCAAAGTACAGTTAATCACAGTTTCTGACAATACAAAAATGAGAGGGTACTGATTAAAATGATCAAATTTAGAATTAAATCCACAACAAAGAGTCAGTGGCAGAACTTCATTTCCGTAGGATATTGTGGATACAAGAAGTAGAAAAGATTCATAAAAGGATCAGAAAAATGCATTCAGGGATATTCATGTATGGAGACAGAGTGTGGTCGTCTGAATTCTGGCTGCCATAGAGGAAATCTGCAAACGTCTAGTTGTTGGAAATACTAAGACATTATCAGGTTAGGGCTTGCTCCAAACAGTGTATTTTTACTTTTTTTTTTTTTTTTTTTTCATAAGTATTAACTTTTGGTGACCACAGAGAGATTACATTAGCACAGTATAGACATTTTGGCTTCCTTGATGCGTGCCTATAAAGTGAACTCGTATGTCATTTTTTGACAATATGCTGACATCTTTTTCTACTTTTTTCTTCACTCATTTATTCTTCTCTGCCTTTTGGATGGAAAATCCCTCCCGCATGGGCCAGGTTATACTGGATATCTCATACAGAAAAGTATCCTATTTCATACATAACTTACTCATGTTGCTGAAGCATGGTGAGTAATGAGTGCTGGAATTTAGCTTAATGTTACATTTTGCGTCTTGGATTTCTGTATCAGTTCATGAAGTACTCAGCCTACTGCAAGTAATTCTCTGCTTTTTTTTTTTTTTTTTTTCTACCTCCTATTTCTGCTCTTCTTCAGTTTTGTGATGCTGGAGAACATTGCATCTTTGCAAAATGTTACATAATTATATCAAAATGTTCCAAACGCTGTACAAACACATAGAATGTCCTCGTGATGCAAAGGAGAGACCAAGGTTTGATTAGGCATGATGCCATATGGTTCTGGGCCCATGAGTCAGCAAAGGTCTTGGGTGTGCGTCATCTGCGTAGAGAAGCAGTGCTGGACTATTCACATTGCAAATGTAAAGCTTTAGATACCTGGCAGTATTAGCCTTAGGTCCACAAGGATTAAAACTGCTTTCCATGTGCCAGCGATGCTTTTAAGTGCAAGTCACAGGACCCCAAGCGCAAGGGCAAACTTGTACTGTAACTTACACAGTTCCATGTCAGATTTCGGGCTGTGTATTTTCTTACAATCTTTCAGGGCTCTGTGGGCTTGGGGAGAGCTAGTGTACAAAGGTATGTTTTTCCAGGGGTCTTTATTCTGTGCAAAGAGATGGTACCAGCAGTTGCTGTTAGTTCTTCCCTTACAGGTAAAGACGGGGAGTTGCTGTGCAAGCAAGTCTTTTCTGCTCTGTTCCAGTTAAAAGTCAGTCTATCTAGATGAAACTGGGGAAAAAAATATTGTTACAGTTTACGTTTATTCTCAGGAAATGAGAAGGAGACGAGGAGGTAGGCAAGCATCCAGATCTGTACACAGGAATGACCAGCCTATTGCGTCAAGCCCTGACTTCAGACCTAGTGGGCACATGCAGTATAAATGTGCTGAGTCCAATCTTGCTGATCAGATTGCAGTCAGTTGTGATAAAGTGTCTGATGCTTTCCAGGATTAATTGGCCATTTAGTTTGTGTTTCTAACCAGTCAATAAAGCTCAAACAATTATCTTCTAGAAATTTGTATTAAAATTGCCTTGTTCCTACGTGTCTATATTTGGATGAATTGTAGGACCTTGGGGATATATGTAGAGTTCAGTTAAATTTTGACACAGCAGCAACTACATTTTCCTAATCTGTAAACAAGCTTTTATGCAAGATTCCTGGCACTAAAAGTCTGTTTGAAATTGAGTTGTGGAAGTGCAAGAGTTCATAACCCTTCTCTTGCAGCAGCTCAGTCAGTGCAAGCTGAATATTGAGCACCTGACTAAAGGTGGCAAGGTCTTCCTTAGCTACTTGGGCAGAGCCCTAGAAGACAGGCGCATTGCTGCCATCTACATGGCAAAGGACATGGGTATTGCAGACAACTATTTTCTTTTACCTTTGTCAGGAAAAATTAATGATACATTTACAAAATATAGAATGGGGTGGGAAGGAAAGGAAGGTAAGAGGAGAGGAAGAGAAGAGAAGGAGTCAGGTGACCTGGGAGGACTACAAAGATGCCATTCATTATTGCAGGGAGAAAATGCATGCAATCAAAGCTAATTAGAGTTGAAGCTGACAATAAAAGTATGTTAACTGCAAAAGGATCAGAGATAACATTGGTCTGATAGTTATTGAGGATGGTCACCTCACAAATGTGGATGTAGATAAAGCAGAGATTTTTAATGGCTGGTGAGCAGCCCTGTGGGAAGGAATCTGGAGACCCGGTAGCTTGGTGGCTAATTGTATACGAGTCAGCAGTGTGCCCTGGCAGGCGAAGGGCACAGCAGGGCTAGCACTGCTGCCAGGTGAGGAAGTGGACTGTCCTGCTGTGCTCTGTGCCCTGTGGCCTCACCTCAAGCATGGTGTGCAGCTTTAGGCACCACAGTATAAGAAAGACATAAAACTATTGGAGAGCATCCAAAGGAGGGCTATGAAGACGGGGAAGGATCTGAAGGGCAAGGTGAGCATGTGAAGCAGCTGAAGTCCCTAGGTTTGTTCAGCCCAGAGCAGGGAGCTGAGGGGAAGACTCATGGCGGCTGCAGCTCCTCACAGGGAGTGGAGGTGCTGCGCTGAGCTCTGCTCTGTGTGACAGCCAAAGCGCCTGAGGGAACAGCATGGAGCTGCGTCAGAGAAGGGGTAGCTGAGGTTTAGGGACCGGCTCTGCATCAGAGGGCTGTGAGCATGGAACAGCCTGCCCAGGGCTGTGCATATGGCCCTGAGCTGCTGGAGTTCAAGGACAATGCTCTCAGACATGGTTTGAATTTTGGGTGGTCCTGTGTGGAGCTGAGAGTTGGACTCGGTGAACCTTGTGGGTCTCTTCCAACTTGGGATATTCTGTGAGTCTATGAATAGCACAGAATAGAATGGAACTAAATAGTTCAGTTGGAAGGGGCCTACCAAGATTTAGTCCAACTGCAATGTGCTTTGTTATCCAAACACTTTCTCAGGCTGAGCTTCAAAGTCTTCAACCCGAGAATGGATTCAGCAGCAGGTATTAACGCTCTGCAGCTCACTAAGTTCATCTTTTGACAGGAATGGAAGAGTTTTCCATTGCAAGTCTTTACATCTTTGTTTATTTAGTAAGCATGGACAGCTGTTTTTGGCTTAATATATTAACAGTTATTTAGAGAATAATCTGGTGAGTACATTAGTTTATGTGTAGATTGTAAAATATATCTGGTCATTCACTTTATGTTAAGATTTACTTATGTGCTTTTGCTAAGTAACAAACAGCTCATACAGTTTGCTACACATATGAAGACCATGTGGTGTAAGGGGTTATAAATACACCAGTTAAAAACATTCCAGACGATTATAAATCACTATAATATGCAACCCTTGTGGTTTGATGAATAATATATTTACTAACTTACCACTTATCAGAGTGATTTGTGTTGTACTTAATTTTATATTCAGTATAAGTTTTCTATAAGGCCTAAATTTGTTTTCTTTTGCCAGAAGGATTTATTTCTGAGTCAAAACTCAGTCTCTTTTGCAAAACAGGAAAATCAAAGAAGCATGATAATCAGTGTAAACTCATCTGAAGTGCTTTAAAAATACCCAGCCCACCTACTGCTCTGTGAGATTAGATAGTGCAGCATACAGAAGCATAGTGCAGGGTAGCTAAGGAACCATGCAGTATGCAAGCTTTGAATCCCACTCGAAGCAGTGGCTCTCAGCAACACATTTGCTCCTGCCAGACCTTCTGCCTCTCACATTCCCACTCCCTTACTGCTGGGTACGCAGAACATTTAATTCTGTCCATGGGAAATGGCACTGCACAGATTTTTGTCTCCAAATTGACAGCTTATAGTGGAAAGACTGGTAGCAGGAGGAGGTTGAAAAGAGTGAGATGGTGTTATTCAGATGCTGGTGTGGTGGCGGTGGTGTCACTTGGGTTGTCACAATGATGGCCTATGTAAACTGAAGTAAAATTCTAACAGCTAGGTCTGCAAAAGGCTGTAGACATCCCACTGCCCTGTGTGGGCCTTGCTAGGCTCCACAAAGCCATGCCTAGCTGTCATCTAACTCTGTAATGATCTCTGCTCTGCCAGGGAGCATGTCACAATTGCCTGATGGCTCTGGAAGGGGTCTCAGGCAAAACCTTTACTTGTTAGTCTTCTCAGCAGTGCTATACAAAAGGATAGCAACAGATACTATTTCTTGATGGATCCTGTGGTTTTTGTGGTGATCTGTAAGCACATAATGCATATACACTAATTAAATCAAATTTATCTACTTCATAGGAAGTATTTTGATTTTTTTTTCCTGTTCTTCCCTCTGTCAAGCTTTCTCTGAGAGCTTGTTATAAAACTCTGCTCATCTGTTTTTCTAGTTGTCTGTTATCAGTATTTTACCTTCAATTGATTCACGTGGCTGGCCAGCTTACCTAATTTCCCAATAAACAGTCTATTGGTGAAAGAGTTTTTGGCATGCAAACAGCATACATTGCAAAAGACACTCTAGGAGGAAGAGTGGTATGTATGTGCTTTACAGCACTGCTGCTTAGATCATGTGGTCACATAGCTGTATCTGTGGGGAATTTTGCACCAAAATAAACTTTGAAGTTGAGTCAAGCAAAGGGGATTTTCCCATCACAGATCAAACAGAATGTACTGTGCAGCAAAATGAGGAAATCTAGTCTCATGATTTTCAGCATCACTGATTTTGAAAGGGTTAACAACCTGCCAGTAACTGCATCTTATTAATGTAATGCATGTTGGCATTTCTTTTGCATATTCCTATTATGGAGTTTGATGAAACAGCTTTTGTTTGTTCACACTTGTGTCTCTTAAAATTTGTATGTCATTAGAAAATCTTATTTTTTTCTGCAACAGCTTGCACTTTCTTCTGTATGCCGGCAGAAGTCAACTCATTCTATTAGTTTAGATTATCATTTTAAGCTTGATTTAAATGGTGTATAGACTTTTAATGCTCCTGACAACTAAAATTGTAACCTGTTTACATGTGAGATCTGTTAATTATCTGTCTGCAGAAGTTCAGCGTCCAGGAATGAAGGGGGAAGATGATTGAACCTACATGATATGAGGCTCTTAACACATTTTTGAATGCACTTTGAGAAGGTAGGAAAAAAGAATTGGTAGTGTGAGTCCAAGTTAACATGTGAAATGACCTTTACTTTATCCAAATGGAAAAAAAATTTCTACTTTTTTACCTTTTTTCAGAGGTATATGGTGCCCTTTCATAGTAAATATATTCATAGGATGTAGGTTTTTAGTCTTTGTATTATTTTAGGTATCTTATTTAGGTGATACTGGATTTCCCTAGATGTTTAGCAACATTTCAAAAAACCTCAGGCTGTGAGAGAGGAACTTGCTGTAGCCCATTTGTGTTCTGGTCTGCCAAATCTATAAATATGGATAAGTGTGTATCAGTGACTGTGGGGGGCTTAAAAAAAAAAATAAAAATTAAGAGGTGAGATTTTAAGCAATTTATATGTTAGACTATAATGTAGAAAAGAATGTGTGTTTATACAGTAACCTTCCTTAAATCAATGCATTAAGGCTGGTGTATTTTGTTAATATTATACCTGAAGTTGTCAATGGTTTATTTTTGAAATAGCAATAAAATACAACAAAAAGTTCTAAATCTGGAGAAAATCCAGTAAATGAAGCAGTGGTGGTACAGGGAAATAGTCCTCTCCTCTCCTCTCCTCTCCTCTCCTCTCCTCTCCTCTCCTCTC